TCAAGAGTTCATAACTGGAATTTATCAAATTATAATGCACACATAATCATGTCTTTGAAATCACCCCTAGCCAAGAGGGGTTTAGCCACTCATATTTACAACAAAATGAAAGCAAATGAATTTAAACATTAGAAACAAAAGAAACAAAACACCTAAACGCTCCAACGATCCAAGTTGGACAGCAAGCACATCCAAGCACTTTCCTTCCCTTCCTTTGCTATGGCACAAGGTGTTGGTGAGTGTTTGAAGGTTTGTTCATATGGAGGAGTGGATGTAAAGATGAATGGATGTGTTTGGATGAAGGTTGTATTGAAATGGGGATGAATGATCAAGCAAAAACTAATCTCTATGGCTGCCACACACACTTCCTTTTATAGAGGAAGTGCACGGCAAGGAATGTGAATTGGTGGTGTGTGCAATGATTCAAGGGTGAAAATGAAGTAATGATGCAAAGCATGGGGGGTAAAATGGAGTGGTGTTGCAACAATGAGTGTAAGGAGTGATGTTGAAATGATTCAAAGGTGAAAGTGAAGTGATGATCCAAAGCATGCGGGGTAAAATGGAATGGTGTTGCAGCTAGGGAACATAAATGATTGTGCACATGGTATAGAAAGGAAAGGGAGGTGGAATGGTGCAGAAAGGAGTCAAATGTGCAGCAAATGTCATGATGCACGACATGGGATTCCAAAGGTGGTGGATGGTGCATCAATGAGTGCATGTAGTGGAGGTAAAAGTTGTATGAAATCTGATGGGTGAAGGGAACAAGGAGTGTGCAGCAATTGAGTGTAATGATTCAATGTATTGATGCATGAAATCAGAAATAATGAAGGAGACAAGGGTGGTGCATGAAATGAGTGCAAGAAATCTAGTGCATGAAGGGGACAAGGGTGATTATGCATGGCATGGGTGGAAAGGTGAGTAAGTGGTGAATCAATGAGTGCAAGGAGGTGAAAGGATATTGTGCACATGGTAGACAAAGGAAATGAAGTGGAATGATGCAACCAATGAGTCAATGGAGGGAACATGGATGATGATGCACGACATAGGAATCCAAAGGGAGTGCAATGGTGGTGCACGACAATGATGGAAAGGTGAATGGTGAAGTGACACCCCTTTATGGCTGAGCTCTTTGTCCTTTTTACACTAATTCTTCTTTCTCTTTAACACATTCCTAGCCTCTTTAGTCTTCAATTTCGTCCATCCACCATGCTCCATGCATGTGCTATCCATTCCAAGCCCAAAACTGCTACAAAATGCACCAAAATGCATCTTATTGCTTTATAAGGCCTATGGACCTACAAACACACGAAAATAGCTTAAAATACATAATTAACTAAGAAATAACAACGTAAATGCATGAGAACAAGCTAACTCAGTCGCATAAATATGCTCCTATCACTAGTGACTTTTACTACTTATAAATATAAGTTCATAACGATTAGGTGAAATTCCCTTATATTCTAGCATCAAATCCCTGCATGCAAACTAAGTGTGCACCCTTAATCAACACACAAGAATAAGTTCTCTACAAAACATATAAGTAAATCGCATTCATGTTTTACGAAACAATAACTGGATATAATCAATTTATACGAAACATATGATGTTGGCTTTGAATTCACCTCTAGCTAGAAAGAAACTTAGCTACACATGTTCATCATAACTAAATAAAAACAATCTAAATTAAACATTGAAATCAAATAAGGATAGAAAGAACTCTGAGACACTCCAGCAATGGCAGACTCGGCTCCTCCTCTAGATGACAAAATTGGCTCCTCTTCTCCTTCAGAAACCTGCATCACTCTCACCAATTTTCTCTCTAAAAACCTCCTGAAAGCTGCGGTAATAACTTGTATTTATAGGATATGGATCTGATAAGATAACATAACATAAGATTGAGATAAAACAGGACTGGATAAGATAAGGTAAGTTTGGATAAGGATATGATAGGATTAGATAAGGTTTGTTAAGGATAAGGTTTCCCTTTAATTTTTTATTCCTTGTCTCCCAAGCCTCACTCTTAATTCCTCCAGATTGTAGCACATTTCTAGCATTATTTAAACACCAAAAACGTCCATCCAAAGTGTTCCCCAAACATGTTATCCAATCCAAGTCCAAAACTGCTCCAAATTGCTCCATTTAGCCATTTATTGTCATCTTTGCCAATTGGACCTACAAACACACGGAAATAGCTTAAATCACTATAATAAATAGAAACTAACTCACTAAATGCAAAGAAACAAGCTAACAAAGTCGCATAAATATGCTCCTATCAGCTTTGTTGGTAATGAATTACCTTTCTCAAAAAAAAAAATATGATTTTAAATCCATAAAGGTCCTTTTATATTAAAAATTGTGCACAACCTCAGCTTTCCAAGTTGGCTTTTTTTTCTTGCTTGTAGTAAAGTTCTAAAACCTCACCCCTTGGAGATGCTAAGCAACATTGAAATGTTTTTTTTTTTTTTTTTTTTTTTTTTTCCTGAGTTGTTTTGGTTGGTCCAAAATAAGAAACAATTTGGATAGAGAAAATATTCTCAGCAGGAGGGGGATGCTCATATGCAATATGCATAGCATACAGATTAAAATGTTGCAGCCTCCAAGCGAGCGTACTCATTTAATAACTAATCTCTGTGATATGCTTCTTAAATGTCCTTATTCAAAAGCAATTGGCATGCAGTAGGTGGACATGCCAAGATCCTTTTAAATTACTAATTCCGTCTCAATGTGAGATTAATACGACATGTCCCATGATATTTATTATTACTTAAGCTACATATGCGGACAACACATGTATACAAGGTGATGATAAAGCATGTGTCGCTATTAGACTCAGCATGTGAGAAGCACATGCTCAAATACATATCGTAGGGTATGGATGAGGTATTTATAAGGCTTGAGAAATTAATGTCAAGCTATGAAGGAATGGATTACAAAATGAGGCATAAAGAGGATTTGAAAAATCCTCCGTGAGTATTACAAAGGCATATGAGGAGATGCCATCTACAAAATCCTTGCTTTCATAATGTTCATGGACGGTTTCTCTAATTCCTTCCATGCTACGTACATTTTATGGTTCATTTCTTCATAGCTTGGCATCAATTCAATCCCTTGAATCCTTGTAAAAACCTCATCCAAACATACCCTTAGAATATACGAGTATTCAACTCAAAAGCAATTGTCACTTTTCAGTAAAAAGGATCAACAACTTGTTCCATTTCCAATGTGTTTGCAGGCTTGGTAAGACCAATTATCATTGTTGAGTAAGGAAGGAATAGTACCTATTATCAATGTACATTTATTTTTTCAGCTTTATTCAATTTTTTTTTCTCAGGAATCTTACATGTTGAGCCTCAGCTGGGTCTGCTGCACAGTTATTCCAAGTGATTACTTGACTGAAATTGGATAAATTCACTATTTTCAATATCAAGAACTAATAATTATCTGGATTTATCCTAATTTTTTGTTGTTGAGTTGTATAACAGCTGTCAAACAAAATGTTTGTATTGCTCGAGTATCCCAGTAAAAAGATGTTAAAATTCGATCGAGTGCAAAAACAAGTGAGTGGTTTAGTTAGTGGGTCTTCTCTTCTGGTGCACAATTGTTTCTGATTATTTTAGCATCACTATCACTTAGAAAAGAAACGTTTGACTGATAAATAATTGTTAATATTTATGCTTTGTACTCTTATCTCTTTCTCTATGATGTTTGTTGGAATGAATAACATTTACTGGAGAACCATATTCTTTATTCTTCTTTTTCAGTAAGGGATGGATGATAAGCCTTACACGTGGAAATAAATTTTTGATTCTGTTTTCTATGGTTGTCTTTTAAAGAGATGGAATTAAATTTTATATTTAATTGGTAGCTAGCTACGAGCTCTGCTATATAAGTAACTTGGTTGACACAAGAGAGGCACAACACAAAACAAATAATACGGTATTATTAATACCCATCTCTCTAATATTTCTTGTGATATTAGAGTGATTGTGTTGTCGGGTTTCCTGCATATTTGCATATTTGCATATTTGAAATTCATCCAAAAGGGAGGCTACCAACGAATGACGGTAAGGGTTTTTTGAAGCTTTTGTTTCAGTTTCAGCTACTATTAGCACTGTTTGCCACACATTTTAGTAGAAACTTTCTTGCTGCATGAACTAGTCGTTTTTGCAATGCTTTATGTCAAATCCATCAATAGTTGACCTTCATATACACGCATACGTATACAAATACAAGTATCATATATAGTTATTGAAGAATAAAAATTATGCAACCTTTGGGTTAATACTTAAAACATCTCATGCCTTTTCACTCATTGCTAATTATTTTTCCTGATGGAGGATTAATTTTAAGGTAGCATCAGAGTAGGTTATTTATGCATTGAAGTCAGTTGCCGCACATGAACACTCGTCACGCAATAAAAACCTAACCCGTGCAATAGGGTACTTAAAAATTCTAAGTTTTGTGTTGAACGCTCAAATTTTAAAACTTATGTTATAGCTAGTTAGTATACTCAGTCTAGTACATTTGGTTGATGCCAGCCGATATGAACAAGAAGCCATGAATCTTTATATTAAAGCCCCCTTTCCGGGTCGCAAGTTTCCCGAAAAGTTTTTGGACAAAAATGCCCCTTAAAACAAAAAATTTCAAAAGCAACCCAAAATAATGCAGTGGTATTTTTGTCATTTTAACAGTGTTTTTTAATAATTAATTCTTTTTGTAAATTTTTTAAATTAGTACCTCACAGTAGACTAATTAATGTGATTCAATCAATTGTTCATTAAATATTATTTTCTTTATTTTTAAACACGTTAAAAACATCTTAAATGACATGTAATGCGGGTTATAAAAAGTCTTTTGCCAATTGTAATGAAATAGAAGTTGCGTATTAAAGCTGATACTTGAAAAAGCGCAGAGAGAGAGAGAGAGAGAGAGAGAGAGAGAGAAGAGGGAAGGGGGGGGGGTGGGGGCTAAGAGAAATTGCTTTTGGAGGGTCATTAGAAAAATCATAGGTTGGGAGAAGATCTTCAAAAATCTTCGAAGAGTCGAGCTCCAAGTTAGCATGAAAATTAGCGGCTTGTGTTGCACAGAGGCAAATATTGCATTGGTGGGTTGATCGTCTGAGTCTTCTTTTAGTCTTCTAAACCACGTGGGCTTTTACAATCTTGCCACCGAGGTGCTATAAATACCCCCACCTCCCACTCCAACTTTGTATACCGACACCAATTCGTTGACAAGTTCTCATAAAATAAGTCAATCTCTCTCACTCATTTGGAGCAAAATTTCACCTGGGTTTATCTAGCAATTCTTTGGGTACGTTTTGTGTGTCAGAGAGTTGAACAACCTCATACATCATCGGGAAAGCAAAACCCATCTCTTTAGTTATCATATTTTCAGAGAATTTGTTTACTTTAAGCTGCACAAATTCTCACACAATAGTAGAGACTTGTCCTTTTTTTTTTTTTTTATTATATATATATATATTCTTACCCGAAAAATTAAAAGGCTAGTGTTTTGCTCTCTTTTTGTGACAAAAGATGGGAGACGACGCTGCCACAAAAAACCAGCAGCTCCACCACCACCAAGTTTTTGATATCTCAGTTGATGTTCCTCCACAAGGAGGCTCCAAGTGCTTTGATGAAGATGGCCGTCTCAAACGAATGGGTAAAATTCTCTTTCATAATATAATGCAGACATGAGTTAGGTCAGTCAGCTAGCTGAAACTTTTAATCTTTGACACAATAGTATGCTGAAATATGATTAGTGATTCATTCTTGCGTTGTCTAATTCACCAGGAACTGTTTGGACTTCAAGTGCTCACATAATTACTGCTGTGATTGGTTCTGGAGTTCTGTCCTTGGCTTGGGCCACAGCTCAGCTTGGATGGGTTGCTGGCCCTTCTGTGATGCTCTTGTTCTCTTTCGTTACCTACTACACTTCGACTCTCCTGTCTGCATGCTATCGTTCCGGAGATTCGGTCACTGGGAAGAGAAACTATACTTACATGGATGCTGTTAGATCCAATCTTGGTAAATTTTGCTAAAATATATTTTAAACTTGTTGTCCAAGTAAAAAAGTTAGAATCTTTTTCAGATGTTCTAAAATGCTCAAACTTTGTTCTGTTTCGTGTTTCGTTTTTTGTAGGTGGAGCTAAGGTTAAAATTTGTGGATATGTTCAGTACTTGAACCTTTTTGGGGTTTCCATTGGTTACACAATTGCTTCATCCATAAGTATGATGTAAGTTTTGAGTGTTTGAAGTTTGAAAACGGGAGTGATTTCCGCACAGCCTAAATATAAATAAAGGAAAAATAAACTGGTATTTGCGGAAATCATTTCCTTTTAAAAATAAAAAACTTCGTGATTTTAGTTTAGGGATTTAAAGATTATTTGCGCTAACGGGGTTCTTTTGATATTGCATAAACAGGGCAATAAAGAGGTCTAATTGCTTCCACAAGAGTGGTGGGAAAAATCCATGCCGTATTAACAGCAACCCTTATATGATCGCTTTCGGTGTCACAGAGATCATATTTTCTCAGATTCCGGACTTTGATCAGCTGTGGTGGCTCTCCATTGTTGCTGCAGTCATGTCTTTCACTTACTCAACCATTGGACTAGGCCTTGGAATTGCTCAAGTTGCAGGTACAAAAATAGCTAGCTTTAAAGCTATGTTGATGACTTTAAATCCGAACACAGTATTTCGGACTAATTTAATCGGTTCTAGTAGCACTGACTTGAGCTTGTTTTCCTGCTTGTCAATTGCCAGAAAATGGAAAAATCATGGGAAGCATGACCGGAATAAGCATTGGGACTGTGACTGCAACCGAAAAGATGTGGAAGAGCTTCCAAGCACTCGGTGACATAGCTTTCGCCTACTCATACTCTCTCATCCTAATCGAAATTCAGGACACAATTAGATCCCCGCCATCTGAATCCAAGACAATGAAAAAGGCCACTCAAATCAGTGTGGCTGTCACAACCCTTTTCTACATGCTTTGTGGATGCATGGGATATGCTGCTTTCGGAGACTTGTCCCCCGGAAACCTCCTCACCGGTTTCGGTTTCTACAACCCCTATTGGCTCCTTGACATCGCCAACGCTGCCATTGTCATCCACCTTGTTGGTGCATACCAAGTCTACGCACAACCCCTTTTCGCCTTTGTTGAGAAAACTGCAGCGCAAAAGTTCCCAGACAGCGAATTCATAACGAAAGACATCAAACACCGGATCCCAGGAATTGGACCCTACAACCTTAACCTATTCAGAATGATCTGGAGGACAGCATTTGTGATCATAACCACTGTGATATCCATGATCCTCCCGTTCTTCAACGACGTGGTTGGACTTCTTGGGGCTTTTGGGTTTTGGCCACTCACGGTTTACTTCCCGGTGGAGATGTACATTGTGCAAAAGAGGATTCCAAAGTGGAGCACACGATGGCTTTGCCTCCAAACCCTAAGTGGTGCTTGCCTTATAATAACCATTGCAGCTGCCGCCGGATCAATTGCTGGTGTGGTTAGTGATCTCAAAGTCTACAAGCCATTCACTGCCAGCTATTGAGATCTAGCAGAATTTGAATTAACAAGTTCCATTTACTTTAGCATTTCTCCTAATCAAGGAAGGAAAGAGAATTGTTCATGGTGGTCAGTTCTTGTTCATGTTCATATAACAAAATCTTCATTGGTGGTGGTGTTGTTGATGTTAGTTTTTGGTGTCTTTGTGTTGGTTTCTACTGTCTTCAAGGGAAGGAAAGGCGGTGCCATGTATGTATTTATCTGAAATCAAATCATGAGTACTTCCAATTCCCTAATTAACTTCCCTTGTGTCCCATTGCAAAAATTCTAGCAAAATCTTTTCTTTAATTTGTTTTATTGGAAAGATATTCTAATTAAATCGACCAGAAGAATCTAAACAACAAATAAAAGAATTCGATATGTGTAGAGAGAGAACAAAAGCTTATTGAGTTTTAATTTCTTGAATAGAATATTTCTAGCTCGCATATTTCGTGTGCAGAAATTTGAAATGGCACTTCTCATAAGCACCATTGAAGGTGCAAGTTCTTAAAACCCCACTGACAGAGAACGAGTTGAACATGGCAAATGTTAAGCATCTGTCATGTAGTGATTGACCGTGGTCGATGATTTAATACTTCTGTTGGGGAATGTGATGTCTATGCTTTCCAGGAAGATCCAAGATATGGGATTGTGTTGCGACAACCAACTGCACTGAGTACTAAACGCTAAAGATTCAGCTTTCACATCTATGCATTGGCATAGTAGCCACCTCAATTGTATGAGAATAATTTCTCTTACATTCTTTTTTATTCAACAACTGTTGTCTATGAGATCTGAACTCACCGCATATTCGATCTAATATGGAGAAGACTAAAATGGTCCTAGACTAAATAGTCATAAGTGAACTTAACAATATGAGAAACTATCCATATGTATGAAGGATTCCCGAGTGTTTTCCCCATCAGCCTTTCTTGTTATTCAAATTTTCAAAATTGACCGAAATAAATCATTTTTTGAAATCTCAATTGTTAAAGTGATTAGTTTTTTAATATGTAGTCGATATTTCCTTGCTATGTCATCGATATATAGTCAATTTGATTTCAATCAATTCAACCATTGAGATTTAACTTCGCAACAATTGAGATTTGAATTCTTGTTGTTTTAGCCAATTTCCCTCCTACATTGGTGTATTCATAAAAAGGTCTAACTGTCCATAGTTGCTGCAATGATCCAGATATCTTAACAAGGCAGTCCTTTTTCATATATCACACAATTAAGAATTAAACTGCGAGTCCCACATGTGTTCCATATGTTATATCATTTATCAACAACTCTAGCATCTGCTAGAGTTCTCTTAAAGAAAAGGCTTAAGCTCAATCTAAATCTGTAATACAACTTGCTGCTACAAATCATTTAAAATGCGCGTTTCACATACACAATAAGAGGACGATCAAAGATTCTGTAATAGGTTTAGTGAAGAAGTTGGGTTCCACCATAAAACCAATTGGCAATATAAGGAGTAGCTCAACTACTTATAAGAACATGCAAGGTCCCTTCTCTCATGCACGATCAAAGATCCATTCTCAACACGACCCCTCATGTGTGGCGAATTTTCAAGACTAACAAGTGGACAACACAACTTAAGTGATGTGAAGCATGTGTGGCCATTAGCCTTCACACATAGGACAACCTACTCTGATACCATGAAGAAAGTTGGGGTTCCACCATAAAACCAAGTGCCTATATGGGGAATAGTCCAATTACGTACAAGCACATGCAAGGTCTCTCCTCTCATAATGTGGAATTCATTCTCAACATTAGAAAAATCTAAAGGGTAAAAGAATTTTTTTTTAAATAATTATATAATGGTTGGTTATGCTCATCAAAAGCTTGAATCTTTGTCATTTGGTATCATGAATGAAAAGTTTTGTTTTTGAGAGAGGGTGCTGCCCCATTCATATTCATGCCAATGCGTAGCTTGCCTCCCTCTTTTCACGCTCTAATATATAGACATAGATAGGTAGTTTTAAAGGCTTATATAAGTGGTTGTGGTGGTGACAGTGGGAAAGGGGCTGCTGATGGCAGCCACCCTACGGTTTTGGAGGGCAAATGGTAGGTCCTTCTCAGTCCCTATCACCAAATGCTGCCAAATATTTATCTTACTTTTCCATCTTGCTGGGTAAAGATGGCTTTGTTTTCTAAATATAATGTATTAGCAATGGAGAAGTAAAGAATAATTTCCGAAATTTAGGAGGCATGTGCAATGAATTTAGTGTGAACTTCACTTGGATGACGTAATATGATTTACAGATTTAGTGCAATTAGCTACATTTTATTATTCTGTTGTACTCCCGAATATTGACTTTTCAGTTTTTTAGTTAAAAAATTGGTTCAATTATGTATAAGGCTAACAACATTTCACACCATTCGTGTTTTTGATATTTTTTAAAATAAGCTATGAGGTTTCAATTTTTTAACATTGTCCCCTAAGTTTTGATATTGTAACAATTTGCACCTTTTGTCTAATGAGTTATTTAAATCTTTATTAAATTGATGACATGACGAGCATGAAACTCGTAATTGCTATGTCATGTAACCCCCTTTGCAGCCCATCGACAAAAAACTCATCAACTTAATGGATATTTAAATGTTCAAATATCCAAAATGTGTAAGTTGATACATTTTCAAAACCATAAGGAGCAATATGAGAAAAGTTTAAATCACCTCAAACATTGAGCGTGCAAAATGTTGTTAGTGCTTATTGACACACCCCGTCCCGAAGGAGGGCATGCTGGCCGTCACGTGAGAGTGACGTAACCATTTACACAGTTCGGAAGCTTTAAATAATACAATTACTAAGATATAACACCCGAGGGTGAATCCTTCTTTTGTGAATTCTGTCAGAACACCGTTGGATTCCTCGTGGCCACCAAAGCTCTGCTAACTTGAACCTGGAGGGGCGCAACAAAATTGAATGGGTCAGCAAAACAAAGCTTTTCGAAAACTTTTCATTTAAAACATTTCTAACCCCTCGCCGTAAAACCTGTATACTTTCCCAGAAATTTAGTATATAAACATATATATATCATCAAAAGCTCAAATCACAATCCTTCAACGCTTTTCAGAAAGAATATGCCATGCCATGCCAAAATATAATATGAATGCATCAATATAAATCAAGTGAAATAATAAATCAACCGGAGACCCTACAGTGGTCCTGTACGATTGATTCTATAGCTCAATATCCCATCCAGCCGGAGTCACCAACTGTGACCTGTACGGCCCTGCCGGAGTCACCAATTGTGACCTGTACGGCACTACACTGCACATAAGTCGGAACTACCTATAGTAGTCTGTATGACTAAGATTGTGAAATAATACGCTCTAGTGCTTCTCTCATCAATCATCTGTGCACATAATCTAAGGTCACCTACCAGTCGGAACCCCTCTAATGGTCTGTACGACTGGCATGTCGGAACCACCTCTAGTGGTCTGTACGACATCCACCTACTTGGATCCAAGGCGAGCGTGCGGTGTGGTGAATAATATAAGCACTAACACCTAGGGTGCAGGTTATGAGCTTTCAATGCAATTCACATAAATAAATCGTATGAATAATGTAAAAACTCACATGTGCGTCCACATCGTCAATTCACATATATATGCATCAATTATCAATTCAAATATCTCATCAATTGCATGCATGGCATTTTAAAACATATTTTCATATAAATGCATTTTCTGGGAAAAACAGTAGTATATAGGTAATACGAAAACAAAATTGCCCACTCACTTGGAATTCGCCCTACAACTCCCTAGCACAACACATCAAGGCGTCATGACGATCGGCGCCTAGAACAATAATCAAATCCAACCTCAGAATTCATATCAATAGAATATAACTTATATAAAACACGTCACTACGCAGTTCGATCCGGAAGATCTGCAACTCAGATTTCCAATCCATAACTTCAAGAGGTCCAAAATATATCCCTAAAACAACATCCTAAAATTTCCTTACCATCCAACGGTCGAATCTCCGTCAATTATCAAAACCAAGTGACGGTTAACATTCTATATTATGGACTTACAACTCCAATTCCGGAAGATCCGTAAATCGGATTCCCAATCCGTAAGTTCCTATAATCCTCAATTATTACGTATTACGACGCATCAAAGTTTGGTGACGATCCAACGGTCGGATCGTCAATTCACATTTTCACCTATATGTGAAATAACTATAAAAACGTTAATTTAAACACATAACCAACAATTCGAAATAACTTCTCATACGATGCTCAATATGGGTATATGAATATACCACATTGACCTACTCGACGTCACGGACGTCAAGAAATTTTTAGAAAAAATTTTAGGCTTGCCACGCGCCCTCACGCGCCGTGGGTGGCACGGACCTACGCGCCCCCACGCGCGTTTTCTTCCTCAGCCAGTCGCCGGACTGGTTTTTCCGGTGGCCAGATTCCGGCGAATTTTGTAATTGCTTGTTCTCCTTCGTTTCTCAACCGTTTTCTTCAAATTTTATATCAATTTGAAGCCCTCAACATGTAGAATCACGATGGACTAGTTTCAAGGTCTAAAATTCACTAGATTTTACCTGGGGAAGCACGATACTTCAGCAAAAAGTGAAACTTTGTTCTATGGCTCCCCGACATCCAAAATACCTCAACGTTGCACCCCGAGCATCATGAGGACGTTCTAAAGCTCACTATAGCCCTGAAATTCAAAGAAAACCCTCCGTTTAAAAGTTGATGAATAGTGACCAACTCGGGGATTCGATTTTCCGGGGTTTTCTCACGTTAAACTTCAACCAAAATCATGCCAAATGACTAAGGAAAGAGACTTGTTACCTTTCTGAACCTCAAAATGGCGTGAAACCTCGACGATCAAATCGGTGCTACAGTGCTTCAACGGAACCCTTGTGGTTTCTGGGTTTATCGAAGATAATTCAACCAACCAAGGGTATGGTTGAATTCGTATTCTTGCAAGAAATATGATGGGGGGTCTTGGGAGCTTGATCCGTGAAGGAATGGGGGTCAACGGACTACGTCCGTACGATTTGCAGAGAAAGGGAGAGTTTGAAGGGAGGAGAGAGAGAGACACGGGGAAGGGAAAAGGAAGGAGGGCTTGTATGTGTGGTCCAACATCAATCCTCACCATCCATTCTCATCTTAGTTCCCTAACCACACAAACAATCCAACATAAGATAATTCCAAAATTTATAAAGTTTAAGTCTAAATATTGTCACATACACACATACCTTAATACCCGTCAAGGGTAAT